CATATGTCTGACATTTTGTTATGGATTCCTCTAGTATTTTTATTGTTTCCCATCTTATGTTTAAGTCTTGTATCCATTTTGAGTTTATTTTTGTGTATGGTGTAAGTTGGTGGTCTAGTTTCATTTGTTTGCATGTATTGGTTCAATTTTCCCAACACCATTTGTTGAAGAGACTGTCTTGACTCCACAGTATGTTCATGCCTCCTTTGCCAAATATTAATTGAGTATAGAGGTTTGGGTCGATTTCTGGGTTCTCTATTCTATTTGATTGATCTATGTGTCTGTTCTTGTGCCAGTACCAGTCTGGCCTGAGAACAGTGGCTTTGTAATACAGCTTGATATCTGGTATTGAGATTCCCACCTACTTTGTTCTTCTTTCTCAGGATTGCTGCAGCTATTTGGGGTCTTTTTTCGTCTCTGAGTGCTATGTCTTTGGCAGCTCACAGGACGGTCTTGCTGGAAAGTAAATTTATTTTCCCCTCTCACCCTCACTTTCAGTGACTCCTACCTTACTACTTCCTGCTGGAAGGCTTTGGAAGTCCTTGGTGCCATCCAATAGCATCGTGGAGGTAATCTTGTGTTGTTTTTTTAAAAAGAAAAGTTACTTATGGCAGATGTAATTTCTACTTGGTTAATTTGCATGTGGTTGATCATGTATATTCAATCTGGTAGCAAAATGCTAGCAATTTTTTCTTAAGAGGAAATAAAAAATGGGTCATGGAACTGTCCCCCACAAGGAACTTGCAATTAGGAAACTGCCTTGTTGCTTTCTTCTTGCTGGAGTTGGATGGACTGATTTTGAGATATTCTAGTTGATAGGACTGGTTTGTTCATTTGGTTTGAACCTCATTCTAATGAGGCCAAGGGTGTACATCCCATCTCGATAGGACCTGTGAGTGTATCCCGCTGGGCACTGGAGGCCCCACTCTCCCTGTTCACCCCAATTCCATGCACATAACTCACAGATATCATGTGTTGAGTGTAAGGGACTGTATATTCTATTTCGTTGTTGTCAAACATCTTGCTTACTAGGGGTACTTAAGGGAAGAAGAGCAGTAAATTAGAAAAATACCATCCTATATAATAAAAGGGTAATATGCAAATCGACTGAACGGCGAATGACCGGTCAGTATGATGTGCACTGACCACCAGGGAGCAGATACTCAATGCAGGAGCTGCCCCCACCCGCAGGCCCCAATTGCCTGATGAGGGCCTACTGGCCAACCTCTTGGTCCCCTCCCCTGGCCTGCAGGCTCTGATCGCTGATGGGGAACAGGGAACTGGTGGTGGATGGTGGCAGGGGGCGGGGTTGGCTGCTGGTAGCTGGGCAAGATGGTCCCGATTGCAGGCCAGGCCTAGGGACTGTACCCATGCATGAATTTCATGCGCCGGGCCTCTAGTCTAAATAATAGTAGTATGAATACGAGTTGTCCATTTGGAAGACATACAGAAAATGCATGGAAGCAGAAACACTATGGTGCGCAAGGCAGTGAAATCACTGGAGTGGTTCCTCTCTTCAATGGTGGGGGAAATGATTCTTGGTTCACGTGCAAATTTAAGGGAACAGGAGGGAAAACTGTTCAAGGTACCTTTGCTCAGAAAGGACTGAAGCAATGAGAGACTGTTGTTATAGCTGACTCCAGGCAAGAGAATGCTGCTAAGTGCCTCGCTTTTGGGTTTTTGGACTTAGTTGCTCAAGTTTCTATCTTTGAAAACTTAGAGGATCTGGCCATAGAGTATGTGAAAACAATGTTTACCTTTTAAACATAGACTTCATTGTGCTGTAGGTTATTTCTTAGTGCTCACTTGGTACAGGCCGAGGCACTAGGTACCCAGTGGCTATGTTGCTGTCATCTTTGTGTGGTTCAACTGACAATTTATTTTCCTGTTTCATTTGTTCTGAACTGGTCTACATAGCTTTTCACTGAAGCAACCATTACGTGGCTACTACCCCCCAACCCCCCCTCAATCAACATCTGCTTCATGTACCATTCTACCTAGTGGCAGTAACAGTGCTTTCCTGTGTCTTTGGGTTCTTTTTCAAACTTTTTTACCCTTTGGCATGTTTCTTAAACGTGGGATCTTGTGATGGCTCTTTTTAGAACATCCAAGAAACAAGGATTTTAAAAGTGGCAAAGCTAGAAAGTCCTTCCCCCATGACCTTCCCCACCAGGAGTAAGTTGCTGCAGTGTACACTGCCTTCAAGAACCAAAATACAAGTCTCATGTCTGTGAGGGACCAAAACTATTACTCAGGACAGGCCTCTGGGATAACACCAGTGTACCATTCTAACAGATACTTATTTGCAATTGCTTAAAATTAATAAAAGGAAAAACTGTAGTCATACATACAGTTCAGAAAATAAGTCACTTCCTGGGCAGGTGGTACAACTTGCTGTCAGTAGCCATTAAAGGACTTTGCACAAACACCCTCATTTCCTTCCTTCTGCTGTTTCTAGCTCTTCCAGCAGGTGTCACTATAACCACAGAACAAACATTCCACAGCTTGGTATGTTAACTTTATTTTTCTAGCATAATAATTTAAAGTATTTACACACTGCACACTCACTGTTTTACACAGATACTTATTCATATACCTATGAACCACATCTAAAGACTCGACACACTGTGGGGTTTCCAAGCATAAAAAGGGGACAAAAATGTTCTGAGTCTTTTTTAAGAGACAGCCATGTGGAGCATCTGTGAAATCCAGTGTTTCCCTCCACGTGTGAGGCTCCCCGGGAGACCTTGGAACAGCTACAGCCTGTCCACATGTTGGGTGTCACCCAAACTCGTCTGGTTAAGGAGAATTTCAAGAACCTACATGTGCAAGTTTCATTTTTCTCTAGAAATCCCAGAAAAGAAACAGAAAATAAAGCTGGCCCTTCCCTAGAGAAACACTGGCGTTTCTGCAACCATTCTGAAGATTGTAGATGTTGTGCAGGGACACTGGTTACTGAGAGAGAATAGCTAATTACACTGGTACTCATCCTAGGGATGTAGGATGCTTCGAAGCATCCCTTCCAGTTAAATATGGCAAAATGGTCCAATTTTCTTTTCCCGACTATTAGTAGAGTGCTTGTTTTGCTTTCCCTACAAAAGACAAAGGTATATTAGTCATACACACTCCAAACTCATTATAGTATTTTCTACTCATTTTTACTTCACTTTTATACTATTTGCACAAACATAGTGGTTAGAAGTACATCCTTTCCTCTCATTTCTTCTCAATTCCAAAACAAAATTACTGACTAGCTGTAGCTTTTGACCCAGGCACATGGTTCCCTAGTGAACAGCAGCAGCAGCCACAGTTCAGGGCAGACGGTAGGTAGCCCCCTAGTTTTTATAAAAGGATGACAAGTTGAGTTTCAACTTTCTGGTGTTGAATGTTTAAGCAGCAGGATGTCCTCATTTTCCCCCGACTGGCCCAATTCTTCTTTCATTTGCCACAAGAGAGGACGTTTGCCACTTCTGGGTGAACTCACAGTTCCATCCTGGGATGGATGATGACAGCAGTTCACTAGGAACTTCAGGAAAATGGCATCCTCTTTTCCTGCCAGTACTAACCCACGGGGCAGGGTAAAGGGAAGCCGTTACCTGGCCAAATGAAATTTAGCACAATCTTGACCCGAACTGCTATGGTATTTAAAGTTTATTAACTGTTGCTTACATTAGTGGAAACTTAAGGTAAAGCACAAGTTCTATCACTTTTTCTTGGAACCAAACACATTTTGAGGTACGACTATATAAACCTACCTATTGTTTACTTTCTCAGTTACTGTGCGTGCCTCGCCTGTTATTTTCCTTTTGCAGGGAGGGTGCCGACAATGGAAGTGAGGAGGTAAGGAGTTTTTCTATTTTATGGGGATTTCACCAAGTTACATGAGCAACTGGCTGAATAATATTCACCTACAAATGTTACAAGGGAGAATGTGCTTGGAAAGGGACCACCTGGGAAGAAATGCTGCTTAATGTCTCGATTGAGCAGCACTTGGAGTCAGGCCAAGGAAGCTTGTCATTGACACCCAGTCCCTTCCTTCCATTCTGCAGGTCAGACTGTGTGAAGGGCACCAAGTTAAATACCAATGTTGAGGTGTGGAGGGCACCCAGAGTGGGAAGCTTTGTGATGGGATCTGGGCCTCAGTAGAGGAGGCTAAGAAAGTGGCCTCACATTAATTCTACAGCAGCAAGGCCTCATCACTAAATCTGTTTTTTTGTTCAATGCAAAGAGTTGAAGCGGGGGGGGGGGAATACTATATTTTTAAAAGGGATATGGGATGAAAAAGGCTGACAGCTATGAGAGTCTAGCAAAATGCCTCGTTCTTTATGGATGAAATCGCCCTTTCTGACCTATAGAGTTTCATATGGTTCAACTTAACATGCCATAAGTTCTCACAACAATCCTATTAGTAAGGGTAATAGCAATATCCCCCTGCCCTCTGGGAAAGTGACAGTTGTTAGGCTTCTTCAACATTGGTATTTAACTGCCAGAAAGAACCTGTAAGGAGTTAACCCTCCTTCCAATCAAGTGAGGACAGAAAAGGTGAGGAGCTCAAAGGAACAGGAGGCTGTACACGGTGGGGATCAGTAGCAATGGGGAAGGGCAGAAGGGGGCGGCCAACAACAGCTACACACGTCATCACTGGTCATATCCAAAGGGTCGCTGGGTATGGTGTCTCTGTATATGTACTATACATACTAACCAGGTACACACATAAATATTTAATATATAAAAAATAAAGTGCTTTCTAACAGGTCCCCAGGCAGGGACATTATAAAACATTTCACAAAACTGCAAAATAAAATCGATACAATCAAAAAACACTACATCCAACATACGCGAGAACAGTCAAACACGGTATGTACAATCTGGTGGGTGTCCCAGGACAAACATCCTGTCATATACATGGTATATACATATATACTCTTTTACTCAATATATTATGACAATATATATTTAAAATTTTTGTTATAGACAAAAAAAAAAAAAAAAGACAACCCCTACAAAAACACAACAAGGGTCAAGCATGTGAGTCCTAGACTGAGAGACCAAGGGCTGCCTGCCCGGGGCGCCCCGTGCCCACTGCTCGGGAAGATGTGCCAGCGCTCCTTCCGCGGGTGCAGCGCCTCCACGTCCTCCAGGGCGCTGTGGGCGGCGGCGGTGAAGTTGGCATCGCCGGTGGTGAGCAGGTCGAAGACGCAGGACTGGAAGTAGATGTCCCTCACCGGCATCTTCTCGTGGCATTGCGCGTTGGCAGTCTCCAGTGTGTAGCCAGGCCAGGCCTGCGCCGGGGAGGTGTGGGGCAGGGTGTGGCCCAGGATGGCGGACACCTGGCCCTGCCCGTCGTCGATGCGCTCGCTCAGGGGGCAGCCGTTGACGCACAGCTGCAGGTCCTGGCTCTCCTCGTAGGCCATGGCCAGGTCCTCGGGCATGCGGATGGCGAGGGTCAGGTAGCGGCCCAGCTGCCGCACGAACACGGTGGTCCCGATGTAGCGGGCGTGCATCTCCACGTAGCGGCCGCTCTCCCTCTCCACGATGCGCAGGCTCTTGACCTCGCCGTCCCCGCCGCTGGTGCTGCCGTCCACGAAGGCGGCCGGCAGGTCGTCGGTCACAGCTTGGTACACCTTCTGCTCCGTGCACTCACGGTGGGCTTTGAAGATGATCGTGATCTGTGGGGAGGAGGGACGTGCACAGCGTTAACACAGCGGGAGGGAAAAGGACGGTGCCTCCCTCTATAGCGAGAGCTTTCCTTACTCTGGGGTTGAATAGCTCGAGAGAAATTAAAAATGACAATCCTATATGTTTAGAATGAACATGTAACAAACAGTCCAGGGAATGTGCATGAGGAAAATGTGTCTTGACTGAGAACAGTGTTGCTGTTGGGAATATAGGCAGTTTTTAGCGATCGTTTATATCTTGTCTCTTTCCGTAAGCAGATGAATGGTATAGCTCTGAGAAAGAAAAGATTCCTTTCTAAATGATGCAGTTAACAATATACCTACCAGAACTTTGATTCCTAAATTTCTTCATTGGACTGTAAAAAAAAAAAAAAATCCCATGACTAAACACTAATTGTGACCACTGGGGAAGGAGCAGGGAGCTGAGGGGTCATCCCAGCGACAGCTACCATACAGCTACAAAGCAAGGGCCTCAGAAGAGATTTCTCTAAGTTCCTTAATCAAATGTTTCACATGACTGGCTAATCCCTGCGACAGGAAAATCACTTGGCAAATACAGCTCCCAAGCACTGGCAGAGAATAAATACCCTAAACCTAGTTACAGCAAATGTTTCCCCCACATAGCACACGGCCCTTTAGCCTCCCAGAATCCTCCCAGCCAACTCTCAATTCTCCAAATTAAGCAGACAATTCATGGAGAAAAACAAGCAAACCTGACAATACAAAAGCTTCCCTTTAGTGAACCCACTTTCTTTCCTTAGAACAATTATTTTAAAAAACTGAACCTTTAAGCACCGGGCCTTTAACACACTCAACATCTCCTGTGCAGGTGGTGGAAGGAAGAGGAGCCTCCTGGTCTCACAGGTGGGAAAACGGTCCCAAAAATCTACGTTTTGAGATTTGTGTTATTGTCAGTCACTGAGGTAACAGCTTATTTTTCTTTCTTCTTGGAGGGAAAAAAAAAAGTATCAGGTGACTTCAGTCAAGGAGGAAAGTAGACAGGCCAGCACACTACAAATTACTCTGGATGGAGGAAACCACCTCCTGCAAGGAAACTAATCAAAACAATAGACCCTTGTTAAAAAGGCCAGAAAATGCCCTGGCCCCCTCCCGCCTCTCTCTCTGAGTCCTCACCACCACCCTCAAGTTTATGTCTGAAGTTTTTTTCCTGCACTCAGCCAGCATTTGCTCACACTATTTAATCCCACATGTTCCCACTGGTGTTACTTGACTGGAATTTTCCAGCCATTTCATTTTACTTCAGCCAGTTGTAAAGCCAGATCTGAACCAGCTGCACTGCAGCAATTGGTTAAATTCATATCCGTTGTTTGCAGCTGCAACTAAGGCCAGACAATGTGCTATGAAGTGCTTGGATTTCTTCCTTCCTAATTACCCTGAGCCACAATTTAATTTCACCACCAGCCTTCTCCCATTTCAACACCTTAACAGCCCAAAGAGGGCACAGGGATGAGTTTAGGACATTGGTTGTGCATCCAAACATAGGACCTCCCAGAGTGAATGGGACTTTGAGCGAAGTATCTAATGGGACTATAAAATAGATTTATTTGGTGGCTCTAAAGACAGTTTGACAAGGTGCTTTTTTTTGTTTGTTTGTTTTTAAGGCAAGCTAGGATCCCTTGCAGGTGAAAAGATTAATTCAAATAAATTCTGCACCTAAAAGATTCAAAGTTAACATGTTAAGCGCTCAGCACGTTTTTCTTCTGGACGGAAAGTATAGGGTCAGACACTGGTGACTGGGTGCATAACAAGCTAATATAAATGGCTAAATTAAGAGTTAGTAATACACTTCTCATATATTCAGTATCCTCGTTTTCAATTAGAACATTCCCAAAGATTCCACAAACTCTTCTACAACAACTAAGCAATTGTTTTCTGAGTCTAAGACTTTTTGTTCACCTTAGAAAAAAACAAAGAGGAATTAGTTTTGTTGGGAAAATAGAGACCCAATTCCAGAGAAGTTTCCAAAAAGGCAAGCGTGGGTCAATAGTGAGATGAGTGGAGTCCTTCACATGTCTTACCAGGGCTCTGCTATTTTCACCGAGCCCACCCATTCCTACCCAGGACTCATTTCAAACCCTCACATTGTCCCCGCTATGCCTGTGACACACCTTGCAAAGATCAAGTAAAACTCAAAGCTTGACCTCTGCACTGGTATCCACACTTACAAAGTATTAAAGCTTATCTAAAAGATTTTTATCTGTCCAATTCCCTGGGAGTGATTTTCTCTGAGACACTGAAGCTGATATTTCTCATAATTCTCAGAGCCTCTGTATACAATTAGCTCATGAATCAAAAATGCTGAGGGTGACACATTGATCTCAAAGCATGAGGGGGTTTCCTATGTGGTCCTCTGTAGTTTAAGTACGTACCTAGAGATACCATCCATGTAAATGTAGCTAATAGTTTCACGTGACTTAAGTTTTGTAATGCAATTTCATTCCTCATATAATTACAATACAAGCTCTTAAACAGCAAGCACTCAGCCTTAAAGGGCCAGAAATCATTTTCAGATTCTGTCTCCCTCTTCAGAAAAAACACGAACTCTTTTAAAACTTAATTCAAAAACTTCGGAAATTCCAACCTTTTGTATTTCCAACTAGCAGTTATCAGAACTTTGTAAAAACAGGGTATTCAAAATCATATTCTAAAGCTCTCAGATAATTTTAAAAACACCAGCTATGCTGCTTTCTTTCCTCCCTCTATGAAGAGATCCATATGCTGTAATAACTCAATTTGGCACATCTGTTCTATGCCACACCATTTATTATTGATGGATGGCATTTCTGTGCATTTAAAACATCAATGCCTTTTGTTAAACCTCCCCCACCCAGACCCTCTCCAACCCCACCTCAGACAAACTACTCCAGTTCTCCTCATTCATTTTTAATATTCACTCCCTGAGATCTTTACCACCCACAAGGTCTATCAGGAAGAGAAAGATAGCAGCTACAAATCAACCTTTCCACACATGAAAGCCAGAAAGACAAGGTTTGCTGTGAAATATCAAAATTTAGAGGCAGCTGCCTCTCCTCCTTTCTTGGGGGGGCGGGTGGGGAGTGGGGAGATGGGGGACAGGGAGGTTGCATTTTTAAAAAATGAGGTAGCCAACAAAAAGGAAAACTCAGGCACTGTCTTGCCAAGATACAGACATATCTTTCCCAAGCTCGATAGCCTTGTAAAGTGCTCTGCACAGGTTTTCAAACAGCAGAATTCCCAAAGGTTGTGCACTTAACTGTGTGTGCTTGTTGCCTTTTGGAAGAAACATTTATCAGTGTTTAATCGGCCCTTCGGCACTGCAAGTGCAGGACCTTCCGGGAACCCTCCAACGCCAGAACTGGACTTCTCGGTCAAGGGACTCACCTTGCTTGGATTAATGGGCCAGCAAACTAGAGTGAAATTGTCACAGAAATTAGCTTGGAACATGGGGAAACAATTTTGATATGGACCTGGTTAAAATTCTGCTTGTTAAAGGAACCTAAATTAATTTTATTTCATACAATTAGTTAATATGTTCCCTTCATCAAATTCTCTGGATGCATCACAGGTTGAAAAAATAGGTGACCCTGAGGGAGGAAAAGGGACCCTTTCACAGGTAAGTGGTATAGAGCCTCTACATTCAGTCCCGTGGAGCGAGCAAAAATGAAACCATTCCAACAAGAAAGAGCACGTGCTTTCAAGAAATACACATGCTGTATCTCCAGCTCTTAAACACCTGATCTTTATGCCTGAAGTCAGAGCCTAGGAAACTTGGAAGCAGCAAAATAGAGGCCTTTGAAGCCTCCTTCCTTCCAGTGTTTTCCTGGTCACCCCCAACCTCACCCCACCCTGCGACAGGGACCCAGGACATGTGGATCTGGGGGGAGCTGAGTCACCCATCTAGGCTGGGAGGCAGGTGCCTGTCCTTTGGTTATAAAAGATAGGAGAACTCTGTCTCTTCTAATTTTAGGAGCAGGGGAGAGAAAAAGCATATTCATCTAGATCAGTGGTTCTCAACCTTTCTAATGCCGAGACCCTTTAACACAGGCCATGACCCACAGGTTAAGAACCACTAGCAGGGTCGCCTAAGACCATCGGAAAACACAGATGTTTACATTATGATTCATTAACAGTAGCAAAATTACAGTTATAAAGTAGCAACAAAAATAATTTTATGGTTGGGGTCACCACCACATGAGGAGCTGTATTAAAGGGTTGTGGCATTAGAAAGGTTGAGAACCACTGATCTAGAGTAACATTCTGTTTGAACAATTTCAAACAAAATCCAGGAGAGTATTTACCTATACGTAGCATATTTAATAAATGTTGGGTTGGTTATTAACTGATGTCAGCCGAAACCGATTTGGCTCAGTGGATAGTGTCGACCTGCAGACTGAAAGGTCCCGGGTTCGATTCTGGTCAATGGCATGTACCTTGGTTGTGGGCACATCCCCATTGGGGAGTGTGCAGGGGGGCAGCTGATCAGTGTTTCTCTCTCATCGATGTTTCTGACTATTCTTCTCCCTTCCTCTTGGTAAAAAAAATCAATAAAATATATTAAAAAAAACAAACTGATGTCACTTAAAATTTAAGGAAAAACATTTGCCAAGAAGGTGTGATCTCAGTGAACTAAAGTGAACTTTTACAATCACTATTCAGCCTCTATATCAACTATCTACTACAGGAAGATTAAATGTAAGACTTACAAAAGTGTCTTTTGTTAAATGATTGTGTTGGACTAGGACAAAACAGTATACATATTTAAAAGGAGGGTGGCAGATTAAAAATCTTACCCTTGACTTCTTTGAGGGTTTGAATGAGACTAAGAATCAGCTACCTTTAAAAGAGACATCAAAACAGGTTTCTCTCCCCTCAAAGTCTCTCTCCCCACAGAGCTCTGTTCTAGGAACACTTACAGGAATCCAGAGAAACGGAATGGATCAGCTTATTTATTCTTCACTGTTGCCCCAGGTAATACGTGTAGGAACAAGGGC